GAGGAATTATCTATGATACTGAAGAGACCCATGCCGGGCTTTAATCAGCTAGCTCGTATCGATCTTCAATTTCACAACGAGATCTTGTTCTATCAGATGTATAACACCCGACCGGACGAGATCTACGCGAAATGCTTCTACACCGAAAAACGTCCGCCCGTCGACTCTGTAATCGCCTTAGAAAATGTCAACGGGCGAGGATATTATCCTTGTTCATGCGTACATAATCCTCCATTAGAATACACATTAGCGGCGATGCGGGAGTTGGGACGATTTCATGGCAAGGGATATGTCATGAAGGAGACGCAGCCGGGAAAATTCTTCGACATCGTGACGCGAATTCAAGAAGTTAGATACACAAAGAGGACGGAGAATATGTTCGAGTTTTACATGAACATTCAGTCGGTACGCGCGGTGGAATATCTTCGCAGTCAAGGACATGATACAATTTTCTGCGATAAGATGGAAGCCTTACTTTTGAACGCGTTCGACGAAGTGATGATGAAGACAGTGCAGCCACTGGAACCGTTGGCCACGTTGTGTCACGGTGATTTTACGTTAAGCAATATTCTTTTCAAAACATTAGACGATGGACAATACCGCCCGATGTTAATTGATTTCGCGCTCATCAGATACTCGACGCCCATCGTCGATCTGTCCACATATCTTTTTTTATGTTGCTCGAATGAAATCAGGAAAAACAAATTTTCCGAGATTATGCGGGCCTACTGTGACGCGCTGAAGGAGTATTTGTTGGACGCCGGAATTCAAGACATTGAAAAGTACTCTTACGACGCTTTGTTGGACGATTTTAGAAGAGGTGCTCTCTTCGGTTACGTTCTTATGTCCATTTTTATACCAGTATTACTGGGACATCTCAGTCCAGAAACACTAATACAAGAAATATTAGATTTAGGATTTTTGGAAAGTGCAAAGAAGCAGAAATACGCCGGCGGAGACGAAATATCTAAAATACTAGCTGACGCGTTGTTACATCTGAGAGATCTTGGCTGTCTGAAATATTTTTTATATTAGCGCGAGATAATTCCGCCATAATGTATACTCTATATTGTTTAATAAACAACACACAGCTCAGTAATAAATAGTTTTGAATTGTGCTTTATCAAAGATGTAAAACTCGTTCTCTGTAACGTACAGTGCGCAACTAATATTATTTTANATTCTATATACATAGCACT